TCTATATTTGTGTAATCATAATGCCACCTTCGGGATGCACCAACTCAGACAAATTTGAAGTAGTCTGCCGCACGAATGGAGAGACGTGAGCGGTGCTGTTGTTGCTGTGGGCACGGCGTTCACCACAGCACAATCGAATTTAGATGAAGAGGTGTGGGAGTGAGAAAGGAGTCGACTCAAGATGTGAAATGAGGAGCATTTTGGATGCAACATGTGCGCTCCGAAGGTGACTTCGTCAATTCGCATTCACCGCACATGCTCCGTCACGGCAGTGGAGTTGACTCGCTACGCCTCCTTCCCTCTCTTCACATGCTGCAGATCACTGACCCCATCTGTCCGCCGATAGAAAACACGATAAACTGGTGACGTCTTCTCACGCACATGAGTGAGTATGTTGATTGTGTCTCTCCGAGTGCCTCCACTCTCACCCCACGATTGGTGCAGTCGAGATGACCGAAGTTGTCCTCCTACAGGTCAGTGGCTTGAGCCTCTACAGTCGGAAATGAGTGTGAGAAAGAAGTGGGTACAAACTGCTCCCAAGTGGGAGAACGAGGAGGAAAGTGGAATTTGTGTGAAGCAGAGGAGGAGGTGGTCGACGCTGGTAGATTCGTTGCGATGAGTGTGTCAGCACTCGAAAGTAAGGTGTGAGCGGTCGTCGTGAGACTGTGCTGCAAGGCAAGCAGACGGGGTAAGGCGAACACTGATGCACCTGTTGCCATCTCTGCTGACGCTGCTGCTGCTGCTGCTGCAGCAGAGAGAGAGTGTAGAGGCATGGAAATGAATGAGCAAAAAATAGTGAAAGAAGGACTAAAGTGATGAAAGGATGAGTGGAGAAATAATGGGGTGCATAAGTGGTGAGTGTCTCATGTTCCACTTCCCTCGCATATGCGGGGAGGGAGGAGAGAGGGATGAAAGGGGTGAGGATTTGCAGTAGTCTTGTTGGGTGGGATCGGAGGAGGTGGAGCTGGAGTGGAAATGTGCGAGTCCGCTTTATCTACCTTGCGCTTCTAATTGCCAAACTGACGCTAGACAAGGCAACTCCGAAGGAGAGTAAGGAAACGATGGAGAAGGAGGGTGGGAGGAAGGAAGGGAAAGGGCACGGTCTAAGGTGGATGACGCGGTGATGTCAGAGAGTGAAGTTGAGAGAATGTGGTGCAATGAGGCACGCAATGCTGCCTAGTTGTCGGAAGTAGCAGCAATGGCAGGTGGGAGG